CCCCCCCCCGGGGGGGGGGGGGGGGGACAGCCTGTCCTGAGCAAAAGGGAGGAGGGGCATAGCACAGCTGTGTGACCTTGGATAAGTTCCTCAAATTCTCTATTCCCTTAGGCTCAGGAGCCTCACCTTGATCCAGACCTCCTTTGGCTGTGATCACCCTGGGACTGCAGCTGGGAACAAGAGGGACACAGATGTGACTAGACAGGGACCCTAGCTGTACTCTTGCCAGAGCTTAGCAGTCATCATCCAAAGATCTGGGTGTGAGTCCCCAGGCCAGTCCCTTCCCCTCCTGGAGCTCAGTTTCCCTGTAGGTAAAATGGGTGTGGCCGGCCTCCCTGCAGGCTTGTTGCCAGGACCGCTGAGAAGGATGCTGACAGTGTCCTCTGTCTCCCTGCAGACGGAGGCCCAGGAGCCATGGGCGACTGGGGCTTCCTTGAGAAGCTGCTGGACCAGGTCCAGGAGCACTCGACCGTGGTGGGCAAGATCTGGCTGACGGTCCTTTTCATCTTCCGCATCCTCATCCTGGGCCTGGCCGGCGAGTCAGTGTGGGGCGACGAGCAGTCGGATTTCGAGTGTAACACGGCCCAGCCAGGCTGCACCAACGTCTGCTACGACCAGGCCTTCCCCATCTCCCACATCCGCTACTGGGTGCTGCAGTTCCTCTTCGTCAGCACGCCCACCCTGGTCTACCTGGGCCATGTCATTTACCTGTCTCGGCGCGAGGAGCGGCTGCGGCAGAAGGAGGGGGAGCTGCGGGCACTGCCGGCCAAGGACCCACGCGTGGAGCGAGCACTGGCAGCCATAGAGCGACAGATGGCCAAGATCTCGGTGGCGGAGGACGGTCACCTGCGGATCCGCGGGGCGCTGATGGGCACCTATGTGGCCAGCGTGCTCTGCAAGAGTATGCTAGAGGCAGGCTTCCTGTACGGCCAGTGGCGTCTCTATGGCTGGACCATGGAGCCTGTGTTCGTGTGCCAGCGCTCACCCTGCCCCTACCTCGTAGACTGCTTTGTCTCACGCCCCACGGAGAAGACTATCTTCATCATCTTCATGCTGGTGGTTGGACTCATCTCCCTGGTGCTCAACCTGCTGGAGCTGGCGTACCTGCTGTGCCGCTGCCTCAACCGGGGGATGAGGGCCCGGCAGAGCCAGGACACGCCCCCAGCCCAGGGCACCTCCTCGGAGCCTTATGCTGACCAGGTCTTCTTCTACCTCCCCGTGGGTGAGGGGCCCTCATCCCCGCCGTGCCCCACCTACAACGGGCTGTCATCCAGTGAGCAGAACTGGGCCAACCTAACTACGGAGGAGAGGCTGGCTTCTTCCAGACCCCCCCTCTTCCTGGACCCGCCCCCCCAGAGTGGCCGGAAATCCCCCAGTCGCCCCAGCAGCTCTGCTTCCAAGAAACAGTATGTATAAGAGCCCGGGAAGTCTTGCTGCCTTTAGTGCAAGACTGCAGAGATGACTGGGGCTGGGGAAGCGGGTGCTTGCTGGCCAGAAGGCCCACTGCATGTTGTTCCTGAACACCTGGGGCCTTCCTGGTGACCAGGGGCACCATAGTTTCCCCTCCAGAATGTGGCTTTGTCCCAGGCACAGACAGAGGCAGCTTGGGGTGCTCTTGGCCAAGGGTGTTTGGGCCCTGTGGTCTTTTTCACTGTGTTCAAAGGGACTCGGAGACAACTTACTCCACCCCCACCCCCACCCCCTGGAAGATTCACCTCTGCCCAGGTTGTCCACACACCCTGTCCTCACAGAAAAAGGCTGGTCGAGGCTGCTGGGTCAGCCTTGATCCCACACACAGACAGAGCCTGTGCTGGATCTGGCCCTGTCAAGGGGACTGGGGTCTTGTTCTCATCACTCCTTCCTAGTTCTGCTGTTTATTCTTCTAAAATAAACAGGACTTAACCACAAGCGAGGTGTGTATTGATACTGTCATGATGTGCCTGGGGTGGGGGGACAGCTGCTTTACCCAGGCTTCCTTTTTGGTCCTGCATAATCTGTCTTTGGCCTTAGCAATCCCAACACCAGGCAGCACCTGAAACCCTCAAACTCCTACATACTGCATCTCAGCAGCTCTGAGTCCTAAACACTGCCTTTTGAAATGCCCCAGCACCAGCCCCCTCAACCTGCCCCTTAATCAGTGGCCAAAGCAGAGTCTGTCCCCATCCTGCCCCATGGCCATCCAGTGCCCCGGCCATGCTCCCAACTGCAGTGTGCTTCCTTACTGGACACTGCTCCCCACCCTGCCTGCATGCCAGCCAAGCCCTTCAGAGTCCAGCTCAAATGGGCCTGCACCCCTCGGTATTTGGGGAGGCAGGTTTAGATCACTTGCCCCCTCCTACCTTGGCCCTGTCTAGTCTGCCCACCAGAAGCAGCAACTCAAGGACCTGCGTCGTAAATCCTCCCCATGCACCTAAAACTCACACAGTGAGAACAGACAATGGCAGTGCAGAGAGGTGGAAGGGACGGCCAGGGTCTAGTGGAGGAATCGAATCTTGCCTCTGAGTCACAAAGGTTGCAGGAAAAAAAAAAAAAAGCAATTGAACTAGATCTTGACATAAATAGGAGTCTTCTGGGGAGGGAAGAGGACACCTTATTTGGACAGAAAACTGCAAAGGCATGGAGAAGGGGAACCGTTGGGGACTGAGGGGGTGCTTAGGGCCTGGTGAGCCACATCTAGGATGTGGGAAGTACAGCTGAGGATAAGCCCAGTGTTGGCAGAGTTGACGTGGAAGGTGACCCGGATGGAGGCAACACTCAGTGGCCCTCGGAGGCAAGCTGTTGCCTGCTGGTTGTCCTCCCCTACCCAGGGAGATCTGGGCGTGGGGCTGGAGGAGGGGATGGGATCCAACTCACGTGGCCACATGCTTCTCCTTGAGAACCATTATAGCGGGTGAACAACCTTCCCCTGTCCCATCAAGATAGGTCTTCAAAACACCAGCTCTGTATCCTTCACCCCAGAATTCACTCACTCACTGCTTACCCATCAAGTCTGAATGCTCGGCCTGATAAGTTACAGCCCTCACTCTTCCAGCTTTGGTTCCCATTGCTGCCTCTGAATCCCTGAGATCCAACCAGACCAGCCTCCTCACAGCTCCCCAAACTCACGGGGTATGTTCTCACCCTGCTCCTTTGCCAGCCTGGAGTGCCTCTTCCCCACACTTCCAAACCCCACCAGTCCTTTGTACACTTCCGTACCCTGGAAAAGGCAGAGCCTGAAGCAGAAGAAAGAGAAAGATGAGTTTTGATGTTAGAGGGTCCTCAAATTAAATGCTGCCTGTAATATGTATAAAGCCATGTGGTCTTAAGTCAATCATTTCACTTCTCCAAGTCTGAGTTTTCTCAGCTATAAGATGCAGATAATATTGCCTGCCTCACAGGTGCAGGAAATAAAAACAAGAGAAAGTATATGAGTGCACCTGGCTCCTAATGCCATGCAATAAAATTCAGCTCACCCTCTCCAGCAAGGCTATCATAGGTTCTTCCTCCTCTAGGAAGCCCTCCCCCACTTCTCCAGCCAGTCTCCAGTGATGATCTCTACCTTTCGGCAATCTGGATCACTGCTTGGTATAAGCCTATTTCATCTCCCCAGTGAGTCTCTAAGGACCGCCGGGGAGACGTTCTTCATTTACCATGGGCCTAGCCCTGCATTCAGTTGTTTTTTTTTTTTGTGGTACGCAGGCCTCTCACCATTGTGGCCTCTCCCGTTGCGGAGCACAGGCTCCGGACGCGCAGGCTCAGCGACCATGGCTCACGGGCCCAGCCGCTCCGCGACATGTGGGATCTTCCCAGACCGGGGCACGAACCCGTGTCCCCTGCATCGGCAGGCGGACTCTCAACCCACTGCACCACCAGGGAAGCCCCCTGCATTCACTTTGACTATAAAGTGAGGGATTAAGTTAGAATGGGCAGAAAGTAGACTGTTCATACGTTGGAAGGGCATAACTCCAGGAGGCTGAGGTCCCCTTCCAAGGGATTCTCCCCAAGCCAGGCTGAGAGGCCAGATCTGTGGGGTCAGAGGTTGGTCTCTTAGAGCCAACCCAACCTGGGGGCCCTGGGAGCCTGTGTTTCTGGTATCCCCTACCTGTCCTGGCTTGGAAAGGTGGGAGAAGACAGGTTTAGGTGAGTGAGGAGGGCATCCATCTCCTCCCTCAAAGCTTACCCACTCTGAGCTTGGTACTGGGACTTGGGCCTTTGGTAAGGCTGGGGTTGGGTCCTAGACTGGTGGCCACTCAAACACAAGGGCAAATGGGCTGGGGGGTTAAAGATGAGGATAGTGTAGTGGGGACGGGACCACACAGATTAGGGCAGGGGCAGTGCGGTGAAGACTTATGAAATGAAGAGTGGCTCTAAGCCCCAGCCCACCCCATTCACTTCCTAAAGCTGTCATAACAAAGTACCACAGACTGGGTGGCTCCAATGACAGAAATGTATTGTCTCACAGTTCTGGAGGCCAGAAGTCCAAGATCAAGGTGTCCACAGGGTTATTTCCTTCTGAGGGCTGTGAGGGAGAATCTGTTACATGCCTCTCTCCTGACTTACGATGGGTTGCTGGCAATACCTGGCATTCCTCAGCTTACAGAAGCATCACCACCATCTCTGCCTTTATCTTCATATGGCATTCTCCCTGTGTGCCTGTCTGTCTCTAGGTCCAAATTTCTTCTTTTTATAAAGATACCATTCCTACTGGATTAGTGTCACCCTAATGGCTTCGTTTCAACTTACTCGCCTCTGTAAAGATCCTGTTTCCATATGAGGTCACATTCTGAGTGGCTGGGGGTTAGCAATACCTTTTGGGGGGACACAATTCAACCCATACCACCACCCCATGGGCCCCACTTCACCTCCAAGCACTGGTGGAGGGAGGTCAAGGAGAAGGCTAATATATATTGTACTCAGGCATCTCCTTTCTGATGTGGCCTGGATGGAACACAGCAGATTCACATCTCACGTCCTCCATCGTATTCTTCTTCCTCCCACCAGCCTATCCCTCGTCACCACCAAAATTCAAGTTGGTAACAGGCAACTCTTGGTCACAGAAAAAGCCACAGGAGGCTTGACTCCTGCCTCCCCGCCCCACCCCCTCACTTGACTGTGGTCCTTTCCCCTCTCTGGGCCTCAGTGTCACCATTGTGAAATGAAAGGATTGGATGAGAAACAGGCATGTGGCAACTAGGCATGAGGAGCATCGCAAGGAATAACTTGCCACTGATCATTGATCTGCAGCTCACAAGTGATGTGCTATTTTTCAGGAATCAGAACAGATTCAAGGTTATTTCTATAAGGTCAATTCCAGTCACTTGAATCCACATTGCCTTCCTGAGTAGAAAAGAAAGGGATGGGGTTATGTGGAGGGCACTGGGAATTTTTCATAACCCAAGGTCATCTTATCTGCAGCCCGTGGGAGCAGTGAACGTCATGGGCCACACATAAACAAGACAGAGAGCTCGTGGGCTGGGTGATGTCAAAACATCTTCCCCATCTAACATGCTGGCTCACTGACCACGGGGTTGCTGACCTCATGAATTTACCACTGACCTCCAGTGCCTTGACTGGAGGTCCTTCATTTCCTTTTCACACTAACGTCAGCAATGACTACTGATGTTTGCAGGAAGAGGTATTCATCTCAGGATTATTGGAACTTCTTTTTCTACCTTACAGCTTCTCCCACCAGCCCTGGCTCAGACTTCAAGGGTCACATGAGGTTCAACAGTTCTGCCCTTCCCATCCAAGCCACATACAAATATAGCCACCAGGCTGGTCCTGAGCCTTCTTTTCTCCTATTCCTCCAGCTGACTCTGATTCCAGAAGTCTCTGGCCAACCTGCAGTTTGTCTACTTTCCTCTTAACATGTGCCACACTCCCCTGGGTGCTAGGCATGATACTCCAGGTGGTCAGAATCCAGATTATCACCTCTCTCGTCTCAAAACTTCTACCTCTATTAATGCAACCTAGGGTTACATTAGCTTTTCTCTTTTCTTCTCTTTTTCATATATAGAATTTGGGGGGGATAACAAAGGTAATGCATGATCATTATAGACAATGAGATCCCACCATCTTGGGGTAACAACTGTTAATATTCAGAAGTAATTCCTTCCAGACTCTTCCATGCATATATCTAAATAAAATCGGACTAAAGGTGTACCTATAATTTTGTATTCTGCTTTTTAAATTTTACATTAAATCATAAGGCTTTTCACCATCCTAGGAAACACCATTTAATGGCTTTATCATATGGCTTTATCATTATCTACTTAACCATGACCCTGATATTGGATTTTTAGAGTGTTTGCATCTAATTATCCTCTATTATAAACTGTACTGTGGGGCTTCCTTGGTGGCGCAGTGGTTGAGAGTCCGCCTGCCGATGCAGGCGACACAGGTTCGTGCCCCGGTCCGCGAAGATCCCACATGCCGCG